ATCATACTAAATGTCAAAGCCCTAGACAATGCATTTACAGCCATTCATTTTTTAAAAAAAGACCCAGGGAGGGACTATAACTTGGACCTCCTGAATCCCAGTCCAGGTCTCTTTCTGTTTCTCTGATTGCCGTGGACCAGAGAATGGATGCTAGGTCTACTTGTCTTATCAGATCATAGTCGCCAGCAAGTCCCTGCATAACCTAGTCGGCACCTTCCTTCTGAGGAAAACACGGTGGCTCTCCAAAAGTAGCCAAGGACTTAGGAGTTCTCCTGGGCACACCCAGTTCCTGGTGCTCACCATAGCCACTGGGCAATTGGAGGGTTCCAATCCTAACGGAAACGAAGAAGGCACAACAGTCTGGGTAGCCAGAGTAACCTTCTTCTCTGTGTCCGAGGGTTGATTTGACTTAGCAAGTTCTCACACACGCTGCATTTTTTTGCCCTAATTTAAACAGACGGGGGTGGGAGGGGGGTGATTGAAAAATGTGTAAATGTTAAAATGTTATTGTTCAAAAGCCCTTGAGATCCCCCGTGGATCATCACAGTAATTAAAATGCAGCACAGAAGACCCCTTGCTTCAGCGGCTCACAGGGTAAAAGGAAAATGAACACCCAGAATGAATAAAGATTGAAAGTTGAAGGGGCTGGGAATTAGCATGCTGCTGTGTGCTACTCAATAGAGCAGATGGCCTCGATATATGGGGAGAGTAAGGAAACAGCTGCCCCTGTGTCCTAGCCCCTTGTTTCTCTCCTAGAGGGGCAGGTTGTAGGGATGGCTGAAGGCAGTATGGGAGGAGGAGTGGAAGCTGTGTAGTTTTTTTGTTTTGTTTGTTTTTTGAGAAGAGTGCACGCATGCGCGCACACACACGCGGGAACGAGCCAGGGAGGGGCAGAAAGAGAGGAAGAGAATGTTAAGCAAGCTCCACGCCCAGCGTGGAGCCCCACACAGGGCTCGATCTCATGACCGTGAGATCATGACCTGTGCTGAAATCGAGTTGGAGCCCAGGCGCCCCAGAAGCTGCATAGTTCTAAGGTGGGAGCGCAGTGATTCCCAGTCAGGGAAAGCCTAAGGCCTGAGGATTCTCTTCTGCGAGTCTGAAAGTCTGTGAGTGCCCAGGCACCGAGGTTCCTGTCTCTGCTTTTTCTAATGTGTTTCCACTAGTGCTCGCTTCGGCAGCACATATACTAATGTATTTCCACTAAACTTTAAGCCTATCAAGACCTTATTTCTCCTTCAACGCCCTGCTCAAAAGCTACATCTTCTGAGAATCCTTCTGGCTGAAAGCAATCACACTTTCCTTTCTGCTCACTGTGCATTTGGTTTATGCATCTATTAATTTTCGTCTGGAATTCTAGTCACTTGTGCATATGCTAGTTTCTTTGGGTAGCTGGTAAGCCCGTTGAGCACACTCAGTGTCTTCATCTTTTTTATCTCTTGGGTGGCCCATGAAGACAAACATTTTGCATGTGCTTGTTGATGGAATGGGTGGTTACAGCCACAGTTCTGGGGCCTGTATCTCACTTCAGCCCTTGGTGCTCTATTACCTTCTGTCCCTTCCTTCTGCTGTCGAGAGTTGTAAGGATGATGAAGGCAATGGATGTTTGTATGTGTCACGTACGCTGTCTTTGGTGAGCTTTTGCACAAACCTACGAGGAACAGACAAGTTATTGGTCTCATCTGTGAGCAAAATATGTTGTAATGGATCCTGTGCGGAGAATAATAAGAATTGTTAATACCTATTGAGGGCTGGCATGTGCCAAATGTGGTGCTGGGTGCTTTACATGTATAATTCTCACGACAATCCTAGGAAGTACGTACTATTATGATTCCAAAATTATAGGTGAGAATACTGGGCACAAAGAAGTTAAGTAATTTGCTCACTCTCTGGCTCATGATCAGTGCCTTATATTAACATTATATTAACACATTATATTAATGCCCTAAGAGACCCAATATTATCCTGACTTTACAGAAGGAAAGGACCTCTGAGTAGTTCTTTTCCTACCTGTTGATTTTGCCAGGAAATCTAGCTTATCCTTGGATATAGTTTTTTATGGGGCTTATTAAGATCCTGAAGGTCTTAGATCTTGACAAGCTTTTCAAATACCAAGGTGTCTTTCCTAGGGAATTGCCTGGGTAAGTCATGTAATTATAAGAATCCCTTTCTGTGATTTCTTATACCCCATAAAGTATTGGTAGATTGTATTTTCTCTAATGGGATTATGACCCTCAGAAATTCTTCCTCTTCACATATTTCCTCCTTCCATAAGTTTCCATTCCTTCTTTCTGCCCACTTCCTTCCCCCGGCATCTGTCTGGTATTGAGCTCTTGGCATCTGTCTCTCTTTCTTCATTGATGGCTAGCATGAATGGGTGGCTGTTAGACAGAGCCTTCATTGTCAGCTCCCACAGCGACAGAACATTCTCTGCAGCCTGGGTTCTGAGGTCCACCCAGGCAGTGTGAGCCAGGCTAACTCCCCGTTCTGGACTCTGGTTTTCCTTTGTCATTGAACTCCCCTCCCTCCCCAAAATATTGTTAAATAAGGAGCTAGATGCTGATACAAAGGAATAGAAGCCTGTGTTCCTGTTACCAAAGTCCTCTTTTGTATTCAAATGCAATCAGAGGAACATTGCACCTTGGGCCGGAATCTGTAGGAAATTGGCCACTAGGGTAGGGTCCCAGAGGTAGCAATTTTGACTCTCCCCATCGGCCTCTTCTAGGAAGTGCTGTTGGTTTGAACCCCCATGAGGTGGTTGCGTGTCGTCTTCTCTGGCCCCACTGCACAACACTACGGGACAGCCTTGTTATGCTTCCAGTTGTCATATGTGGAATTCATAGCCCTAAAGTCATGGCTTCCTGGGGCTAAGTTAAGCTGGATGGAACTCTTACATATGCAGCATTTCTTCTTCCCTAGAGAAAAGATTCAAGTTGTTCAGTGCTCTGGACCTGACCTTTGGGATATAGAGTTTGTGAGTTAGGGGTGTGAAAATCCTGAAGCAGTCAAGTGTAGAGGAAGGAGATGCCAAAGTTCATACGTCTGGGCTCCTGTGGATAAGTAATCGGAGCCATAAAGTGGAACTAATTGGCTGCCCCCTTGAAGCTTCTGCAGGCTTGCCAAAAGCTGAACAGACTGTGGAGACTGAACCATTCTTCTGGAGAAAGTGGGGTGAATGGTACCATGTCCCCACTCAGACCTCAGGGCAATGGGCTCATTATGAGAACTGGTTGTTGGGACCCCTCCTTAAAGGCCGCGTTGGAAGAGCCAGCATTGTGGGACACTTGGCATTGCTGGTGAAGACTCTGTTTTAGTGCATCATGTTTATAAACTCCCCTCCTCACCTGACGACCCTGTTCAGTTGTGGAACTGAGCTTCAAGAAGGGGCCTTGGGCTACAGGCAGGCTGGTGAAGGAGCATGGGTGCTATGTAGGCAGTAGCAGGAGAGGCACCCAGGCAGGGATCTGCAGCAGCCCCTGAGGAGGAGAAGTTTGCCATCAGAGCATGGTGGAGACTTGGATTGTCATCACCGTTGTTGCATAAAAAGGATTTTTAAGGACCAGGCAGTCCATCCTACTTATTTTAGATACTGAAGCCCAGCAGGATGAGATCAGTGCCAAGGCCACACAGCTAGAGAACAGCATAGCCAGAACCAGAGCCAGGTGATCAGAAAAGCCTAGGTTAAAGTCTTCTCCCCCACCACCTTGGACAAAACCACCAAAGGCCCGAGGGCCTTGGATTTCTCATCTGTAAAAATATTTGACCTTGCCCCTTCAAGTTCTAAGATTCTCTGATCTCACGAACAGTACTTGGGAGCTTTGGGCAGACTACGGAATCATTTGGTATCTGTGCCGTAGATTCCACTTACGGAGCAGATAACGTTGAATATTAGCTTAGGAATGTGAGCTAGTACTGGGCACAGGGCTGCTGATGTGGGTGAAAATCCCTAATGGGTGAGAGTTCACACAGGGCGAGCCCCTTGGATGTCCCAGTGTGATCCTGGCGTGGGACTCTGATTTGGTCAATTATTTATGCCACTTCAGGGCAGAGGCATTTGATATCTTGGGTGAGTATACAGTAGTAGTAGTTGGCCTGAGCTAGTAGTGTCAGATTTTGGGGATGTTGGGGAGGTCTTGAGAGAGCTGCAAATATCTCTTGGCATTGACAAATTAGACCGTTTTGTTTTCAGTGGATCAACTGAGGTTAAACTTAAACAAATAGGAGCAGCTGGGAGGCTTTGGAAGGAGTGAGATGTGCACATTCTCAAAAAAAAAAAAAAAAAAAAAAAAAAAAAAAAAAAAAAAAAAAAAAGAACAGAAAAGTCTCTGCTCCCTGAGGAAGGAAGGATGAGGCGTGGAACCCTGAACAGCCCCCTGTGAGGAAGGAAGCAGTTACTTCTCTGCTGTTTTGTTTTGCATGTTCCCTTAAAGAATTCCAGAAGTTGCAGGTTGTAGATCATGACCTCCGTTTTTTTTCCCCCTCTGTTGCTGCTTGCCAGAGGAAGGGAGGGCGGGCGGCTCTAAATAACACTTTGGCCTTTATGGAAATGTATCAGATGTTCCAGGAGTGAGTCTCGCCTGCTCGCTGGCACTCTCTCTCTCTTTCTTTCTCACTTTTACTCCGTGTTTGCTCTCTGTCCCTTACTCGTGTCCTTTCTGTAGGATATAGTCAGCACTGTTAGCCTTATATAGCAAGGTCTGGTCGTTAATGTTAACAGAGACCTAGCAACAGGGAGGGCTGCCAGATAGCATTAATCAGGCCAGTGTTTGGAATTTCATAAATGCTCCGACTTTGGGTACAAATTGAACATTAAGAACAATACGAAACTGTTTTCTTCCTTCCCCTCTCTTCTTCTCTCCCTCTGTCCTCTCTCCAGCCCATCCAGCTTCCCTCTTTCCCTGTTTTTGAATTCCTCAGCTCTGCCGTACGCTCGCTGCATTGGAACTTTGTTGATTTTTGCCACGTTTAATTTTTTATTTCTCTGTCTCTCCGTCCACTCCAAGACCACAGGCGGAGCAGCAGCAGCCGGAGCCAGGACTCTGCGGAGGGGCAGGACGGGCAGGTCCCAGAGCAGTTCTCAGGTCTCCTCCACGGCTCCTCCCCGGTGTGTGAGGTGGGGCAGGACCCTTTCCAGCTGCTCTCTGCCACTGGCCAGAGCCATCCAGAAGGGTCCCCCGCACAGGGCGCCTGTCACGAGGCCAGCATGCAGCTGGAGGAGACGGGTGTGCACGCTCCTGGAGCCTCCCCGCCCAGTGTCCTGGACCAGAGTAAGAGAGTGGGTTACCCAGCTGGCCTGCCCACCACCAACAGCCAATCGCACCCCGAAACTTTGACTCACACGGCATCTCAACACCCTGGTGGTGCCGAGGAAGAAAGAGACCGGAGTGGGGCTAGAAGCCGAGCCCCTCCCACCAGCAAACCCAAAGCTGAACTCAAACTCAGCCGCAGCTTGTCCAAGTCTGACTCTGATCTCCTGACCTGCTCACCCACGGAGGACGCTACAATGGGGAGCCGGAGCGAGTCCTTGTCCAACTGCAGCATCGGGAAGAAGAGGCTGGAGAAGTCGCCCTCCTTCGCCTCGGAGTGGGATGAGGTAAGGCCATGTGACGTCACAGGGAGCCACAGCCCACCACGGCTCCCCTGTGTGCCGACTCCCGGGACCAGGACGTATGGGCCAGGATTGCCCTGGTTCCTTCGCGCTACGACCAGAGTGTTTCTGGCAGCTGTGAGGAGGCAGGCCCCACGTTGCCAGGGCAGGGGATCTTCTTGCCCAGATGGCAAAGGAAAGGTCCATTCACTGGTAAACTGGAGGGTGGAGGCCCCAGGCAGAGTAGGTCCGAGGGAGAGGCAGTTCCTAGAAATGACATGCTGTTTGGAAATATTTGGATCCCATCAGCCACCATTGAGGGAGTCGTGCTCACCCTAAAGATGCTTAAGAACAGCTAGAGAACTTTGTGTGAGTCTTCGGGAAGAAGAGTGAAGATCCAGGGTTAGCCAGGAGGGGATGAGGGGGTGGGCATTGGGAGACCCTGCTGAAAGGAGACCAGAGTGGGGCTTTTCTGTTCTCCGCTCCTCTGTGATTATTCTTACTGCTTTCCCCTGCAGACCAAACGCCTCTCCCAGCAGAAGCATTCTGCCCGTCCCACATTCCCGGGTTGATGAGGCAGAGGGCTAGGTGGTTCCAAAAACAAAGAGAGATTAGTGAGGAGAAAACATTTGGAGTCTGAGGCCCAGGTTCCTTTTGTAACCATTGTTATAGAGTAGCTAGAAATATGTACCCGAATATTTTTCGGTGACCTGTGACATATCTTACTGGGCAGAAGAATGTGTTTCTCAAAGATTGGTAAACACCCAGAGAATGTGAAAGTGCTACCCTTGCAGGCTTCTTGCTGAGAGGAAGCTGCCTTTGAAGGGGACTGGCTCTATCTCCCAGGAACATGTTCAAGAGATGAATTTAGCTCTCTGAGAGGAGGGGAACAGTGCAGCTGACACATCCATTTGAGCAATCTGTACACTAAATGCCCTACCCAAGTCTGTTCACGTTGCAGCTGCAAAGTTATGTAAACCAGAGTGAATCCCATTCCCTGTGTGGGAACAGGGCAGAGGCAATTCCTACTGCACTCTTCTCTCCAGATAAGATGAGGTTTGGGGTAGTTGGGCTGAGGTATCCTGTGCAGTAGAAAGTTTTCACTGGTTCATAAACCAAGATTTGGTGAGCCCGTACTAGACTGTAGGCCACTTGAGGAAAATCAGTTTGAGTGAGAGAGCTCCCTGGCCCATGGGAGATGACACACAGAGTTTGTGTGTTTGTAGGAATGTGTGCTCTGCCTTTGTCTTTTACTCATTTACAATCAAGTATAGGGTTAGGCAGTTTAAGAGTAAGATAAGTCCAGGGCGCCTGGGTGGCTCGGTTGGTTAAGCGTTTGACATCGGCTCAAGTCATGATCTCACGGTTTGTGGGTTCGAGCCCCTTGTTGGGCTCTGTGCTGACAGCTCGGAGCCTGGAGCCTGCTTCTGATTCTGTGTCTCCCTCTCTTTCTGCCCCTCCCCCCGCTCACTCTCTGTCTCTCAAAAAATAAAATAAACATTTTTAAAAAATTATAAAAGGGGCGCCTGGGTGGCTCAGTCAGTTAAGTGGCTGACTTCTGCTCAGGTCATGATCTCGCAGTTCATGAGTTCGAGCCCCAAGCTGGGCTCTGTGCTGACAGCTTGGAGCCTGGAGCCTTTCAGATTCTGTGTCTCCCTCTCTCTCTGCCCCTCCCTGGCTTGTGCTCTGTCTCTCTCTCTCTCTCAAAAATAAATAAACATTAAAAAAAATTTTTTTTAATTTATAAAAAAAAAAAGAAAAAAGGTAAATCCAGTATGCTCTGAAATGGCAGGAGGGGCCCATGGAGAATAAATATCAGTGGAGGTGGGGAGGGTGGAGACAAGAGGTGAGAAAGGGTAGAAGGGGAGTGGAATTAAAGAGCCAAGTGTTTTGGTGAAAACCAGGTTGAAGCTAGAAGAATGAAGAAAGGGGCCTTGGAGAAGAGAATAGCATGAGCAAAGGTGTAGAGCTGGGAAAGCTTAGGTCATTTCGTTTCTATAGAGTGTAGAATTTGTATAGGGGAGCATAAGAAATAAGGGTAGAGGGGCACCTGGCTGGATCATCCAGAAAAGCATGAGGCTCTTGATCTCGGGGTGGTGGGTTCAAGCCCCACGTTGGGTATAGAGATTACTTAAAAAATAAAACCTTATGGGGCTCCTGAGTGGCTCAGTGGGTTGAGCGTCCAATTTCAGCTCAGGTCATGATCTCGCGGTCTGTGAGTTCGAGCCCTGCATGGGGCTCTGTGCTGACAGCTCGGAGCCTAGAGCCTGCTTCAGATTCTGTGTCTCCTTCTCTCTCTGCCCCTCCCCCACTTGCACTAAGTCTCTCAAAAATAAATGAATGTTAAAAAAAATTTTTTTTAACAAAGTAAAAAAAATAAAATCTTAGAAAAAAAAAGAAAAAGAAATGAGGGAGTGAGATTGGGACCAGATAGTGGGAGGGGCCTGAACATGAGGCTGAAAAGTGAGTATTTTGATTTGAAATGAAGGCAATGTCTCAGAATCCTTCAAATGGGCTGGAAGACAGCTTTACCAGTCTAACCAATTACCTCTTCTTTTTGGCCTCATCTCTGAGCATACGTCTTCCAGCCAAGAGGTAGATCATGCTGGGTGATTCGCCACAGGATATCGGTGCTCTGTTACCACGCGGCAATGCCAGGCAGTCCTACGAGCTCCACCATTTCCTCCTGGAGAAGAGACATGAAATCACTGAAGCACGGCCTAGCTTTTAATTGAAGTTGGCCCTTCGGGGTAACACACTAGTTGTCTCTTGGCACCTTAGTGAGAGGAGGTTCATATGCTAACATTTCCGTTGCAGGTAGAGATTGCACGTAGTAGGTGCAGTGAACCCAGGGACCGTTTGGGGTCTAGGTGTCCTGGGCTAGTCCGTGATGTGACTGAACCACCAGAAGCAGCGTTACACTTCAAATTTGAAAAACTAAGGCAACTGAGGTCTCACTGGAAAGAATTCAGAAGATCACGAGTGAATATTTTTTTTTTTATTTTTTTTTCTTTTTCAACGTTTTTATTTATTTTTGGGACAGAGAGAGACAGAGCATGAACGGGGGAGGGGCAGAGAGAGAGGGAGACACAGAATCGGAAACAGGCTCCAGGCTCCGAGCCACCAGCCCAGAGCCCGACGCGGGGCTCGAACTCACGGACCGCAAGATCGTGACCTGGCTGAAGTCGGACGCTTAACCGAGTGCGCCACCCAGGCGCCCCAGATCACGAGTGAATATTAACAGGGCCCTTCATGTGAAATCCTTCATCATTGTTTTTGAGTCATATTATACTTGGTTTTTGTGGATATCTCTAGCTAAAGAGAAACTTCAGAAGTGTTTCCCCCAGTGGTTGGCCCTACACACAGGGCTTTGGCAGACTTTCCTGGAACAGGGCATTAGTTAATGACTGCTCCCCACTCTACCCCTGACCAGTGCCTGAAGGCTGCTTTACCGTATCTTGTGCTTGATTTTTTTTTTTTTTTCTGGTTCATCATTAGATCCCCGGGAGGTGGGGAAAGCTGTTCTGAAGGAGCGTGGGTCCAGCTCAGCTCGCTGTGGGGCCCAGGCGGTGGTGATCCCAGCACAGATGGGGTTGTGGGCGAGTCTGCCAGGCTGCTTCTAGAAGGCGGTGCGGGGTAATACACAGGGCTCAGGCTCCAGAGCCAGCAGACCCAGCTTTGAGCCCCCACTCCACCATCAACTCCACCTTGTTGCATGAGTGGCCTCAGGAATCCTCAGTGTTGTTACCGGTATTTGTGAAACAGAGGCAGTCAAATCTGTGTTTCAGAGGCATTTTTACCGGTTAGATGTGTAAGTGCCTAGCACAGTTTCTAGATGCATAAAATATTGAGCAAATGGTAGATATTTGTATTATTATTGTGCTTAAAGCTTTGGAGAATGGGAACTGAGGCCCAGAGTGTCTTCAGAACTTAAGAAAAGCAGAACTTTTTTTTGGGGGGGGGGGTTGTCTGGTGCTGGCAGAGTGACCAGGAAGCAGTGGAGTTCAAGCCCCTCACCCCGTGACCTGCTGCGTGACTCTGGCCCACCCCAGAGACAGAAGAGTCGGCTCAGCCTGGAAAAGTAGGGCTGTAGCCCCCATTGTTCTTTAAGAAGTTAATGAGCCTTTCTGCCAACTCCCTGAGAGGAGAAGAGAAGAGAAGGGGGGGAGAAATTGGCAGCCCTCTCTATTATTTATTTTTCAAATGTATTCTTTTACATAATGGCCAGCAGTGGCTGGTTGGTTGGTTATTGGGGCTGATGTTCCATAGCTGGGAAACCTGTACAGCTGATAGATTGAGAGTCACTTTTTCCAGATACAGACTGCTCCTTACAGGTGCCTAGTACAGCCCTTGCTGATTACCCAGAACAAGAGGACTTCCAAAAGTTATCCTGGTTAAGGTAGACCCCTGAGATGGTGTTCATTATGACACTAGCATTCTCCCTATTTTCGGTTAGATTTTCAGTAACGAAAAATAATAGAGTTTGCTTTTTAAAAGAGCTCAGCCTCAGAGGAGATCTAAATCCAAGCTTCAGTAGATACTTTCTCCATTTACCAGTTAAAAGTCAAAGCTCTCGTTGTTATCTTAACGATGCCCGATAGAATAGGGGTGTAATAAAAGTTTAACTGAAAAGCTATACATAAACAAAACATTTAAAATATAGGTCAGGAATGGGAAAATCACCTACATCTCTCTACATGTTGTTAACCTCTGTTAACATTTGATGTATATCCAGATTTGGGGTCTTAATACATTTACTGATTTATAATTTGTTTTTTTTACCTAATTACTGCATTTTGTGGGTATCTTACCATGGCAGTGTCTGTAAGATCCAGATTCAGATCTGAATTCTGAGAGGCATAGTATTCTGTTACGTGGCTATATCACAGGGCTGGTGTGTTGGCTGTTGCTTCAACTGTTCTCCCGTTGTTAGACACTGTGCAGGGTACCTTCCATCTGCCCTTCGGGGATGTTCCCTACCCTTCTCCACCTGCCTGTGTGCCCCA